ATCTTGTTATGCAGTTTGAACGAGAGAGTGGGCGATATGTCAAAAAAGTACATATTATCCTCGAAGCAGCCAAAATAGATATTTGCCTCAATTAAAAACAGAGGATGTGATATTCGTCTTTTCTTGATGATTTCATGAGTCAGCATATGAAAATCGACATTTGTCTGTTGTGTTGTGTATTGATATTGTTCTGTTAAGTAGCCTGGTCATACATACAATTTCTCGTTTTCCAGGTATAACTGGCATGCCCTTACAGGCTTATATTTTTATGGGCCCAATATATTACCAGAAGCTGAAACACATGGTGAGAGTTTGATTCTTGTATGGTTTTTGTTCATTGGAGCTAATATTGGACAAAACTTATGCCTTGTGAAAAGTTACTACTTAATGTCTCTATTAGATCTAGTTTCTTCTATAAATTCAATATAACTGCCAAGAAATGGTTTGATCATGTGAAGTACCTTTTACCACAACATAAGACTATTTGTTCAGTGGAAAATACAATATATAGCTGCAAGGTTGAAGTTTGAACTCCATTTTATATTTTATGCAGCAGTGGCATGTGATATTGTGAGTTTTTTCTTTTTTATTGCTTTTGCATTCATTTCTTGATTATGGCATGTAAGTAATTGATTAAAATAATTGGATGCAAGAGCATGTGAGATGACACTCCATGAGATCCACTGGTTTTGTAGTTTGATTATTTTAATAAGCAAATAGGTTGGCGCCTTACAGCTGTTGTCATCTGAATGGTTGGATTTTGGTAAAAGTTGAGTAAACCCCATGCAGTTTTATAAGCATATATTACACAACACGATAAATTTCATAGTAACTTATGATACTCCATTATACTGCATTCTCCTTTCTTTGCTCTGATTTCTACTATTGTTTTGGGAGGGGTAGTGTAACAGAAAAGCTTCTTTTCTGGACAATTCACTTCCAATAACCAAAGAGATTCTTTTCTGAACAATTCTCTTCCGGTACTATATATTTAGAAAGAGGGAGACATGAGTCTTCTTCTTGTTTATATCTCCCTCATTTGCCCCTTAGGTGCAACTTCTTGCATAATTGCGTGTTCATCTCTCACTCTGTCTTTATGTGTGTCTGTGAGTCTCTCTCTATCCTAATGGACTTGGCTTGCCCAAAACATCAATGGCGTCATCCTGTTTTGGTTTTGAGCAAACTTTGAAACCCCTCTGCAATCCAAGCCTTAAAGCACCTTCTCAAACACAGGTCATAACCAGTGGCACCTTTTCTCTCCGTCTTGGAGCTCATTGTGCTGATTAGGATATCCCACTTAATACCTGAACCACAATTTAGGCATCTATTGCCATCACCAGAATATAATCTGTTCTCTCTTTCATGATGCCAACTCCATGACTGCCATAGCCTTGTTATCACCTTATGATCAGGACACCAACATTTTATCAATTTTACCACTGCTACTATCACTATATTCAGTCAGTACTATCAAGTTTTGTCTGCCAACCTGCAGAGCCTTCTCAGAAGCATCATCCGCCACACCTGCACCCTTTTTATGTCCACACTACTCAAGTTGACAGGATTCTTATGTTATTAAAAATGGGTTAACATGCTCGATAGGCTATGAGCTCTAGTATCATAAGTGTCTCTTCACAGGAACATCCACAAATTTGAGCAATGACTCTTCATGCTTTGTCAGCAGACATAAATATATGTTGACCTAAAGCATAAACTTCTTTTTTTTAAGCATGAAGTTGTCTCCTATTATATTAAGCCAGTAGCTATACACTGTATAGACAGCCATGTATATAGCCATTTTTTTGTTTAAACAGCATGTTGTACTCCCTTTCTGAATGATTAGAGAATTCTCTTCTTAAAGATACACACATTGTGTTTTGCCTACCAGGTTTTAGATAAAATGCATGCTCGAGGGAGTGGTCCCCGTGTGATGATTACAAGGCAACCAACAGAAGGAAGAAGTAGAAATGGAGGTCTAAATTTTGCTTGTCTTAATTGTTTTGCAGTTATTTTGCTGTTTGAAAATGTGTATTCTGATTCTTAAAACTTTTCAGGGCTCCGCGTGGGAGAAATGGAACGGGATTGTTTGATTGCTTATGGTGCTAGTATGTTAATATATGAGCGCTTAATGATTTCCAGTGATCCTTTTGAGGTTCAGGTGTGTCATAGACTCATAATTTAAAGATTTTTTTTCCTTGCTTTAATTGATTCTTCTATGGAAGTTGTTGGTTTCATTATCACTGGAGTCATCTTGCGTTATTATGTCAGAGCTGTTTTTTTTTTTTTGTGGGTGATTTGATGGTTGTCTTCTTACTTTCCCACTGTCTTTTGTTTGTGATGGTCTTCATCACTATTAGTGTTTTCATCTCTAATAATTCCAAAAGATTGTCTGAGACTTAGTAAGTGGAAGTTATTTTTATATTTTAAGTCCTAATATTATCCAACATCATTCAATGTCATGTTAGTCAGTTTTTAATGTAAGTATTGGGCATGCAACAAAACTATCTCAGAACTACAGGTTTCTTTGTTTGGGACATTAGTATCAGGCAAATTGAGATAATGTTCGGCTCCAAGTGCCCTCAACTTGTAGAGAATGCAGGACCTGAATTTATTCACTTCAATTTTGGAGAGTTAGACATGCAATTCCCTAAAGATTGACAGCCTCTGAATATCATATACTTCAAGAGAAGCAATATCTGTGCTGATGCACTTGCAGGAAACTTCTTGTATTCTTAAGGAGGTCTTACATTGGCTCATTAATTTTATCTGCTTATTTTTTAGTTTTCTTGTGGTTGATCTTATGAGTACGTGTCATCCAAGGTATCTTACTGGTTAAATGGGACTTCAAGGTCCCTGAAAAATTACAATTTGGAGACATTCTTGCTGTTCTTTCTGGGAAAGGGTTCTCCTACCTGTTGAATAATGTACATAAGAGACTGAATATGTGGTGAGCGCTCTATTTTTCAAAAATCCTTATTTGGTGCTGAAATGGTCAAATTTGCATTTGCTGAAGCCAATTGGAGAGTGCCACATAAGCAGTGTACATTAGGAAAATGCTGAATTTGCCCGATATGGCATTCAATAAATATCTTCCCTCGAAATGCTGAATTTGACCAGTTCGGCACTTAAGATCCCTATTCTTAGTCTATGAGCTTTACTTTTAGCAGAAGCTGTAGTTCTAAGCCTAGGAGTCATGGAAAGCAGGAGATTCTTCTTTCTTCTTTTCCTTTTTCATTTGTAAAGTGTTCAGCATCTTTTCAATTCACTTTTGGAAGTATAAATGAAGCTAAGCTTGCAGGTGATCGTTTTCATTATAGGAGGCTGTTTGTCATAAGTTCCTTGCATTTTATAAGATGCCATGCACGATTTGTGTCGCTGTGACATTTATGGGTCATATGGTCCCAATTTGTCGTGTTCTTGTTACATGGAAGTTTGTTTGCCAACTTAGTTGCTGAAGTAAATTGAATTTGTTCTCGCTTCTAACTTCTGTTGGTTCCAGTCAGAACAATCAACAAAAATAATAGCTAAAATATTGGCTGTAGTGAAATTCATAATGGTTGTGTTAAACTTTAATCAATTTATTTAGTATATCAAGTAACTTTAAGTTGTCATTGTCACAGGTCTGCCGAAAATGTGGTTTACTGGGATATTATAATTATAAGCTGAAGACTGGCATTTGTTCGACATGCAAGAACGGAGATAACATATCTACTATGAAACTGCCATATGCATGCAAGCTCTTAATCCAGGTAAAATTGTGGACATTGATTAGGTATTGATGAGAAACTGGCAATTTTGTTCAATATCTACTAGCACTCGGTGTGCTATTATTGAAGTTCATTAAAGCTCTTTTTACTGGTCTACAACGGATGCAATATCTCAGTTTTCATCTGAGTCAGTAATATTAGCGGTGGAGGTTTGAGTTCCTTAAACAGACTGTCAAAACTTGGAGTTCTCATTTATCAGTGTGTTTGTTTTTGTTGCTTCCGTTCACGAATCACTGACTTGCACTTCGAATCTTTGTTGGTCTTCCAGGAACTTCAGTCCATGAATATTGTTCCTCGCCTAAAACTCACCGAGGCATAGATAGATTCCGTCTTCTTCAGCCACCAGCAAACTCCGAAGTATGCATCAAGTGAAAACTGGAAGCCTGCTGATTACAGAGTTCCTGCTTGTTGCAATATACATACGTGCAACTGACTGAGGCATAGATTAAATTCTTCTTCTTTTTCGACCAGAATACTTCAAACGAAGGGTCAAATTGCACTGAAAGATTGCTGGTTAGTTTTAGAGTTGTACGTTCTGTCCTGCTTGTTTGGAATAGCTGGGGATGAAAATCTTCGAGGAAGGTCAAGCCATTTGCAGCTGAGGGTGCAAGAGACAAAAAAATATCTGCTGCTGATCCAGAAGGAGTAAGTAGCCCACAGATTTAAGAAAATATCACTCTACTACAAATGCGTGTAAAGCCTAAGGGTCTAATTTGGATATTGTAATCCCGTCTGCTATTATAAAATTTTGTGTACAAAATGGCTGATTTCTTTCTGTTCTTAATGTTTGTTTAACGGGCGTAAATTTCTTCAGCTGATAGTTATTCTTCCTTCAGTGTTCCAAGCTGGCATCAAAATAAGTTCTCATAATTATCAGCTATCACCATCACATCATGACGGTAAGGGACAAAATGACACGCGATGTAGCCATCTGCTGTTTTTATCTTTCTTTTAATCACGAACCAAAACATGAAAGTCCTTTTCGTGGATGAGTAACAGAAACAGCACGAAGGTAGAGGCCGAAAAATGACCCGATTTATTTCTTAGCCCCCTTCGCTGCTCGTTACTTTCACTCAATCCGGATATGCAAGGTAACTAACCGTACCGCAAAACTGATCAAATAAAATACAGGATAACCAACCATACCCTGTGCATTGAACTTTCTGTTTCCCAGCCATTAACGTTTGCCTCCCTTTTCTTTTTTCCCGTGAACATAAGCAAGGCAATTTAGACTCTTTGATCGAACAGATTTCATAATAGCAACCTGTTGGCACAGTAGATAATAAAGAAAGGCTCTGGTTTCTTGGCAACATTAAGTAGATGCTACATTTTACATGTGCCTATGTTACAACTTACAACCAGTTAATAACAATGTGTCAACATACCTATCCACCCCAATAACATCCTTCGACTGAAGTATTTAGCAGAGAGAGTCACCTGGTTTTCCAACTTTAAACTATTCTACACATGTACATAAGGGTTAATAAGCCACAGAAAACTTTGATAACCAAACTACTTAGCTCTGCTCTTTATACGGAGTCCATATCAATTTACTAACATCAACGTCTAGACCGCCCCGACCAGCTGCTTTCAGATGACGATCCAAGACCTTGGGATCTGCACAGATGACATGCTGCCCTTTTCTGTATTGGATCAACTCTAATGTTTGAAGTGTAGTCAAGATATCCTCAGCCTTGATGGCTGTCATGTCACTAAGCTCCTGCATGGTTGTAAGAAATAGGAAGCAAAGACGTCATGTTAGTAAAGAAACATTTCAATTGCAGCACAGGAGCAAAATTTCCAAAGCATATACACCATGATCCGATGCAAGCTCATGACACTTTTCTGACTTAAAAACATCAAAAACATCTAATCTCATTAAATTTAACCATCCTCTGCCAAGCAACTTCGAACTTTTTCTTTAAAGACGAAGACAGAAAAGTTTTTTAAGATATTTCTTCAGCTAAACAATGAAGACCAAGTTATCCATCACTTCACAAGGTCTTGGCATATTGTAGAACTCCTACAGCCATGAAAGAACCTAGATCTCAAAGAAGACGTTAACAACACAATTGACATAAAGCACGAGGATTTTATTTTAAGTCCCAAATTAACCATTATGCATTTCTGGTGATGCCTTTATTTATTTATTTCCTCTAAAGCGCATGCCAGTTAGAAATGTCACAAATTATCATTAGATGACTCTGGAATTCAATAATATCCCAAGTCATCACTAAAGGCAACTCTCCCTCTCCCTCTCTTTTCATTATAAATTCCTGTAAAGAATGCTAATTTGGCATTAGCTTCTCGCTTCCAGCCATAAATAGACAAAAGTCTAACAAATCCAGTATTCAGAAGTCAGACCTTGATAGAGATGTTGCCCTTGTGCTTCTTCAATATGTCTAACAGAACACGAGTCCAGTATCCCCGATAGCTCAAAAGTCCAAGGTCAGAAAGAGGTCTTTCTGGTGTACCAACCTTGCCTTCTTTTTTTGAAAGTTCATATGCTGCGCCACAAGTGGAGAGAGATTAGCATAGCTTGCTTATGAAAGTTAATCATGAGAACCACAAGCCAAGACATCGAGGATGGGGATTGGGGAGCAATAAAGAAGAGAAGAGAGCACCTCAAACTAACATGCCTTACAAATGCATAGCAATGAACAGTATTGTACTCCTAAAGCTTCATTTATCTTTTTGTAAAATCCACAATTGACAGTCCTTGATGAGGAATTTGAAATTTACTATTGCATCAAGAAGAAAACCAACACCGTCAAACTAGGAGATAAATTGCAGAAAACATTATACGACTGTGCGTATCGTAATAGGCAATTATCCACACTTCTAAATAGATTATTTTGTTCTAGCTACAGTATTGATCTTACAGCAACTGAGAGGATCAAGAAACAGTAAATGTGATTTCCATATCAGGGGCAAATGCTGGTCTCAGAAAATTGGAACGAGACAAGATAATATCAATGCTGAGAAATAAATACAAACAAACAAGAAAGAGGAAAATTGCCGGCATACACTGCTTGAGCTTCAAAAAATAATTACTTAAATTCTTGTCCTCTTGAAATGTACTTTGCCTTAAATAAAATACATGAAAGCAATGTATGAAGAGACTTACAAAAAGCAATTAAAAATTTCCCATAGCCTTTCCTCTGATAAGGAGGAAGAGTCAGAATGCAGGCCAAATTGTAGGACTCCTCAGAATGCTTTTCCTGAATCATCAGGCAAACGATAGTGAGGAACATTTTATTTTATTTTTTACATGCTTCAATAAGTATTAACTTTCATGAAACATGTAAATCTATTTTCTCGATGATTCAAGCTCAGATTGATGGTACAGTTGATGCAAATGAAAATTGTAGGAGGAACATAAGAGAGAGGAGTAAACATCAACAAAAGAGAAAAAAAAGATGGTAAAATAAGAAGACAACATGTATATATAGTCAATCGTATAGACTTATCAGAAAGCTCATTTGTCTCCTTCCCATCTACAAAACAACTTTATGGCACGATATACATGTGCAGTTGCCAGTCAAACACCTCAAGAAGATGATCACAATCATTGGAAGACACCCAAGAATACACTACCCATTCATGTTGCCCCTTTTATTCAGAGTTTATGTTTCTACCCATTTATGTTTCTACAACAAATCTTACATTCAGAGCAGATAGCATCTTTCAGCTTTCAATAAATACTAGTAAATGATATTTAAAATGTTTTTGACACGTACAAACAAGAAGCACAAGATCATATGCCAAAAAGTTATGAAAGTCAAAGATGATTACTTAATCCAAAGATACTACTTCATTCTCAATACAAGTTCACTGATTTGGTAGCACTCGCCATGCAGATAAAATGAGATACAACTCAATTCACAAGGAATTAGCATCCATTGGTGGTCTCTAGTCAGTATTAAAATGAGATTGCAAACATAAATTTTGCTACTAACAGCACCATATTCGCAACTAAAGGCAGTGACATTTCCAACCATCAGAATCACACTAACTAGAGTAGTGCAACAACGAAAAAAGGGTAAAAGTGAATCATGTGAATACCACCAAAAGAGCAAAAGGAAAGAAAAAAGGGCTTTTTTTTTGGGGGAGGGGGGGTGTGTGTGTGACAGAAAACGCAGCACCTGAAGATAAAGAATTACCTTTGAAAATCCCCTTCTGTTTTTTGTAACAAAAGATGCATAAAGTTAAATAGTAGTAATAGCAAGTTTGGCAATAAGGTATGTGATTTTGTGCATACCAACATTCTTGAAGCAATTCATTGAAATCAATCGGCATCTTTTCACTGACTGATGTAAATTGTGGAGAAAATCTTTATTGCTCAGATTACCACCTGAGCAAATCAATGAATCAAAGAGTTAGCTTTTGCCTCCTTTTTTTTTCACTAGTTGCTTAACACGTCAAATAACACTTCACTAACTAAAAAGGCATTGTGTGGTAATCCACCACCTTCACTTGTGTGATGTGACAATTTTGCACGCAATCAATCATCTTCTTCATATAAATTCGAAAAATCTACTCACAGAAAAATAAAAAATTTGCACAAGAAAAGATTTTGGTGAAGTCAGTTTTTTTTGGGGGGTGGAACTAGAACTGGATACAATTTTTCTGGGGGCTAGCTCCTTCAATTAATGAGGGATCGAGTCATAAAACAATAGATCAGACATATGTCGTGCACCCTCTTTTGCCGAAGCATCTGCGGATACGTTGCTGTCACGCAGCATGTGTTGCACCTTCACTTCTTGGAATTCTCCTAATAGTTCTCTGCAATCAAAGATAAGGGGCTATAAAACATGAGTAAGGGGACAATTCTTGGTAAGAAGACACAAGAAGTAGTTTGAGAGTCAGTCCCTGTGATGATAAGGTCTGTGATAGGTGGAAATCCAATGCCGGTCTAATTCCATTGCCGATGGCCTAAGCTTCAGCAGTGGCATAAGTAGCAACTCCTATGTTTCTGCTAAAACCAGCAATCGACAATCCGAGGTGGGCTAGTGTCATTCGTCGTTAATTTGTTAGCAAGATGGAAGAAGAGAAAAATGAACTTTTAGAACTAAGCAGTGCAGAGAAAGGGTTATGTTCGAGTAAAAGTCTTGGTTCTGAAAAGTTGGAATTAACAGTTGATCAAGTGATAGAAGAATATGTGGGATCATTTGGATTTTCACAGTTGTTGCACGTGTTCTTGGTATCATTGGCATGGATTTTTGATGCCCAGAGTACTTTAGTCACTATTTTCGCTGATGCTCAGCCAGATGGATGGAGATGCATTAGCTCATCATCATCATCATCTTGTAGACTCACAAATATCAGTTCTGGAGATGCTGCTTCAGTTTGCGGATTGAAGCCTGGAACCTGGGAATGGATGGGTGGTAATACAAGTTCAACCATTGCTGAGTGGGGATTGATTTGTGACCGTAAATTTCTTGCTGCGATGCCAGCTTCATTCTACTTTCTCGGATCTCTCGTTGGTAAATCTTCCAAATTCACTTTGATTCTGTTGTACATTGTGTTCTCTGCTCATGACGTTGTATTATTCCTTGTGCCATGAATCATAAGCAGCATATTCCAATCTTATGCTATTTAAGTCATTTCTGTTCCAAATGGACGTTAAAGTTACTTAAAGTTGGCAATTTTTGCTTTCATGCTTTGCTTTTTGTGCACCTCTATACCCTGTTTTCCACCTTTACTGCTCTCTGATTATTTACTGCTTCCTCATTTCCTTTCGAATTCCTTGACTAGAATTTCGTATGTGTGATTTTCTGTACAAAAAAAGTTGATGCATGATGCATCAGCTCAGCGCTACATCATTTTTTGTTCTGATGCTTAAGATCCAGAGCAGTATGCATTCTTGGCTCAAGTAGCTTAATATATCAGTCGCTATTTAGAATCCAAAATCTGATGATGTTTAATCCAGGTGCTTCTGTCTATGGATACCTAGCTGATGCATTCTTGGGAAGGAAAAGAGCTGTGCTCATCTCATGCCTCCTAACTTCAGTAACCATTTTTCTCACCTCTCTCTCGCCAAATATATGGCTTTATTCACTCCTCCGGTTTGCAAATGGCTTTTCTCGGTCAGGCATTGGCATATGTAGCCTTGTACTAACAACAGAAGTTGTTGGTGTCAAATGGCGCGGTCAAGTTGGCCAATATGGCTTCTTTTTCTTCGCGGTGGGCTTTGTTTCAATTCCCCTAATTGCATATCCCTGCAGGAATTCTTGGAGAAGTTTATACAAGATTATCTCATTTCTGCCCCTTGTCTACTCCATTTTTGTACTACTACCATTTGTATCAGAATCTCCACGATGGCTTCTCGTTCGAGGAAGAAGCAAAGAAGCTCTAGATGTATTAAGAAGATATGCAAGGCTCAATGGGAGAAAAATACCTGCCAATCTGTGCATATCAGAACCATCTGTTGCTACCCAAGAGACTAGTAAAGGGGAAGAAGTCTTGCAAGAAAGGACTCTGTGGAATACAAAATGGGCTGCCAAAAGGATGGCTTTTGTTATGATGACAGGCTTTGGGATTGGATTTGTTTATTTTGGAGTTCAACTCAATGTTGAGAACCTAAACTTCAATTTATACTTTGCAGTTGCAGCAAATGCAATGATGGAGATTTCAGCAGTATTCATTGGTGGTGTGCTCCTGAGCGTGGCCAAGCGCCGGCTAATATTTTCGCAATTAGCTTTCATTGCTGGACTTTCAAGCATTCTTTGCATACTATTTTCAGGTGGGAAACAAGGAATTCTGGATAAATCAGGAGGAAGCTGGCCAGAATTTGCTCTTGAAGCAATAGAATTCATGGCTGCATCAACTGCATTTAATGTCTTGTTTGTTTACACTGTGGAACTTTTCCCTACAAATGTGAGAAGCTTTGCTGTTTCTGTGCTAAGACAAGCCATGGTGTTAGGGGCCTCCATTGCTCCTCTGCTGGTGGCTGTGGGCAGATACAGCCCAGCTCTCGCCTTCCTTATATTCGGGGCGCTGTCCATTTTCAGTGGATTGATGATTTTGTGGCTGCCGGAGACCAGAAACTCCCCTTTGTATGAGACGCTGGAGCAACAAGAACAAGAGGGACAGCTCAATTCTGCTCCAAATCACTTGGAAACTGAGCTCAGCAAATGAATCTCACCTCTATGTAAAACAGCGGCCGATTTAAGGTGGGGGCACCGGAGGCACGGCTTCACTGCCCTCTTAAATTCCTATAGTACCCATAGAATTTTGATATAATTTCAATAGTGTTTCGGAGTTTTCTTACGAAGGAAGTGAAAGAATTACGTGATTCTCTAAGTTGGTTTATGAATTAATATTCTAAAAGGATACGTGGAACACAAAATTTCATTTAAAATAAGCTAAAAAAAGGTTTTTCATTTCAATTTGTTGGTGAATATTTTTTACTTAAAAAACTAGAAAAAAAAAAGTAGGCAAAAAAATTTTGGGTTAATTTTGTCTCCACTGAAAATTTTTTCTGGCTCCGCCACTGATGTAATGCTCTTTCATTGCAACTTTGACATATACCCCAACCTAAAGTGCTTAATGACACAAAATATTACCATGAACAATTCTCTAAATTCAGACAACTTCCTTAAATTACCTTAATCTGTGGTTCACAATTTTATAAGTTCTTAACCCTGTTAAATTTTGCTTTAAAAAAAAAAAAGATGTTTTGCACTTCTATACATGTAGGTTCACCATTTTCCCTTTACTATGGGTTCACCTTCATATCATCATTATAGAAGTTTTTTAGGTCACAAACTGGCAATAAACAACACAGTCAAATGTAGTATAGGGTAATTTTTTTTAAAAATCTTTTTCTTAAAAAATAGAAAACATGATTTTTAAAATCTTTCTTGTCATCTTTCACAGCAGCAGGACTTTTCCTTTGAAGGCGCCAAAATGAATAAAAGCGCTACCATCTAACGGCTCTTTTCACCATGGCTGTGTGTTTTAGCAGTAGTATTAATCAAGCCAGAAAGTTACTCCAAACCCACATAACTTCTTCCTCCTCTCCATTAGATTTATCAAAAGCCGCCTCAACAATCCAAACTGTTGTTAACGACGTCGTAATAGATGCCCAGAGAATTAAAACTGGTTTCGACCGGGCTGCATGTCGCTCTAATTATCAGCTTGAAAGACTAGTTAACAAAAAGAGTATCCGAAGCCCGCCAATTGTTCGACCACATGCCTAACAAAAATACATACTCAATTAACACGATGCTTTCGGTTACGTGAAATCTGGAAACTTGAACAGTGCAATGCAGTTATTTGATAATATGGTAGATCGGACTGCTGTGTCTTGGACTATAATGATAGGGGCGTACTCGCAGAAAAACCAGTTTAAATCTGCTTTTCGCCTTTATGCGGATATGTGCAATGTAGGCACAGAGAGGCCTGATCAAGTGACTTTTACAACTTTGTTATCAGGTTGTTCTGATGACTCTGAGGCCCTGAAAGAGGTGGTTCAGGTTCATGGACATGTAATAAAGATGGGATTTGATTCAGAACTAAGAGTTGGCAACAGTTTAGTGGATTCTTATTGCAAGTGTCGTTGCCTTGACTCTGCATTATTTCTGTTCAGTGGGATGTTGGAGAGAGATTCCGTGACTTTCAATGCAATGGTAACTGGGTACACAAAATGCGGGATGAATGACTATGCGATAAAGCTCTTCTTCCAAATGCGGGATTTGGGCTTGAAGCCTTCAGATTTCACCCTTGCGGCTGTTTTGTGTGCCAGTGTAGGGTTGGATGGTGTTGCTCTTGGTCAACAAGTTCATGTGCTAGCCATTAAGAGCAACTTAGTTCGGGATGTTTTCGTTGCCAATGCATTGCTGGATTTTTACTCCAAGCATGATTGTACAGATGATGTTGAGAAATTGTTTTATGAGATGCCTGAGTTGGATGGTGTTTCTTACAACATACTTATCACGGGGTATGCAAATGATCAACAATACAAAGAATCAATCAATCTATTCCAAAAATTACAGTTCACGAGGTTTGATAGAAGGCAATTTCCTTTTGCAACAATGTTAAGTGTGGCAGCATATTCACTCGACCTGGAAATGGGAAAGC